GAGGATGATTGGCTGCCCTATCCTGTCTTTGGAAGAGCTTTATAGCTCCCGCTGCCTTAAGGAAGTTCAAAACATTCTTAAAGATCCATCTTATCCTTTTTTTTTAAACTATTACCATCTGGCAGACGGTACAGGAGAATAAAAAAATATGTTTTTATGTTGATGTTGTAGTTAGACCACCAAGGTAAGAAACACTCTTTCTCAACCTGCCTCTTCCACGTCCATCCTTGCCTTCAGGAAGGGCCCTCACATCTCGGCCTCTAGACTCAACGTAGCTTTTGCCGACTTACATGCCAAGCTTTCTGCTGCTATTCCTGCCTCGATGTCATCTTCTTGCCTGGGGCCCAGACGCAGACCAATCGAAACCTTTGGTCTCCACCCCAACTGAGAGCCCAGGATCCCTGAAGTTTCTGAAGCTCTTTCAGAGGTTCATGGGAGGTTATCTGCAAAGGCCTTGTGCACCTGCCATCCCCCCTGCCTTCAAATCCACAAAGAGCTGATTCAGCTGAGAGATTCTGGATGGAGTACAAAGTCTTCAGAGGAATGTATCCATCTTGTTTTAGAGGCCCAGAACAGTGATGGGTTCCTACCAGTTCGCACCAGTTCGGTAGAACCGGTTCGTCAAATCTACCGAACCGGTTAGAAGAGGTTCCACCAGTGGACCCGGAAAGCAGGCCACACTTACAGAAGAGGTTCCAAATTTTTTTGAAACCCACCACTGGCCCAGAACCAAACTACACCCATGTGACTTGATGTTACCTACTTTTTATTCACCTGGCCTTGTGGTGATTGCTTACCTGGATATGGGTTCTTGCCTACTTTCAAGCTAAAGGCCTAGAACAGGGATCGGCAACCTTAAACCCTCAAAGAGCCATTTGGACCCGTTTCCCACAGAAAAGAAAACACCGGGAGGGAGCCACAAAACCCTTCCCGTGCCTGACTATTTCCCGAGCGACCACAAAATTTGTATATGTAGTTGAATTAAACATTCTGTTTTCTTCTTAAGGTTTTCATTTCTTGGATTTAACCATGGTTGGCCTACTGGGGGTTGAAAAGCTCATAAATCTCATGTCAGTGGGTGTCACATATTGGCGGTTGTGATGCATATTTTGAGCAACAGGGAGCCGCAGCAGAAGGATGAAAGAGCCACATGCGGCTCCGGAGCCGCAGCTTGCTGACCCCTGGCCTAGAATGAAGACTGACATGGATGGACATCAAGACCAAACTTGTCCTTACCAACTTGTCAGGGTTGGGAGTAGACTCAGTAGCTGCCATGTCATAATAGGGAGGCTGGGACGATGTCTTCTGGACCTCTGCCTCTTCCTCCTTCATGTTATCCAGGTGCACAACCTGCAGTTGAGGCAGTAGGGAAGGTTCAGGAGGAGAACTCCTAGCCCAAGGGGAAAAACTGTTCTCACAGATGGATTTGATGGAGAGACCATCACACTATATTTCTCCAAGGGAATCGGGCCATTGCATTAAGTGATAGATGAGAATATTTGGAGCTTAGGTTGAACTGTGGAGTTCTTGGTGCTGAATGAGATTGGATCTTTTCGTGCAGACGTTTCATTACCAAACTAGGTAACATCATCAGTGCTAGAAGGGAGTGGGGTTTGCAGAGAGAGGAGNGATGGAAGGCTGAGTCAACCCTGAGCCGGTGAGATTTGAACTGCTGAACTGCAGATAGCAGTCAGCTGAAGTGGCCTGCAGTACTGCACTCTACCAACTGCGCCACCTCGGCTCTTCCCAGGTGGTTCTGGTTTTCTTGTGCCTGATGTAGCTTCCATCCATAATGTACGCTGGTTGGCGTTGAAATCAAATACTGTAGTCCTACAGAGTCTCAAGTTGAGGAAATAAGCACCAAGGAGGGAAAACGGAGGCAGAAGGAGGAAAAAAACGATATTTCTTTGGAAATGGAAGAGGCCTGACCTTCTCTTTAACTCCGTTGGCCCTCACTAATTGGCCCTCACAAGAGAAGTGCAAAACCAAGTTTCTCTGACCATTCGAGGTCTCTGCTCCAGTTTGTACTCCAGGTTGCAAAGACTGGACTGGGAGTGCTTAGAATTGGCCTCAGTCGCTTGCCATCTGTCCTTTTTCCATTTTCCCAATCCAACCTGCTCACTGAAGGGGATGCCACTTCATGTCCAAGAGATAGAGGCAATAAAGAAGAGACGATTCTATACTTATTAATGATCTGCCAACTGGTGTGTCCTTTCTTGAGCCCTTCTGAACTTCCAGCAGTCTCATTTGCCAGCTAACAAAATTTGAACTTAAATTACAGGTAATGAGAAAAATTAAATTTAACTGGCACCAATGTCTCCTTCTCCCCACATTTTCTTCCCTTATGCTCTTTATCTCATATAAAGATCCAATTATCTCTTTTCTATTAGTATTTCAAACGGGATGTCAAAAGATGTAGGAGTGTTCTTAACGGATTGGCTGGTTTCAGGTAAAAAGATCTTGTTGGGTTAGATGGTGACAGGTAAAGGTTCCCCTCGCACACATGTGCTAGTCGTTCCCGACTCTAGGGGGCGGTGCTCTTCTCTGTTTCTAAGCCGAAGAGCCAGCACTGTCCGAAGTTGTCTCTGTGGTCATGTGGCCAGCACGACTCAATGCTGAAGGCGCACAGAACACTGTTACCTTCCCACCAAAGGTGGTTCCTGTTTTTCTACTTGCATTTTTNGCAATGACTATAGAGTCCCTGGTGCTTTCTGAGCTTGGTTATTTCCTTGCAGACGTTTCATTACCAAACTAGGTAACATCATCAGTCATTCCCTTTAGGAATCTCAATAGAGATTCTGCCACCACCTTAGATACCACCTACTCTTAATAGGAAAGTCAGAGAGCTTTAGGGACCCCAGATGATCAGTGTGAGATAAGAAAGCTAAGTCTGGACTCATCTTTATGGAAGATATGAGAAAATTGTTCCAGGAATTAGGATGAGATAAAGTTCCATGCTTGAACCCATGCTGTGCATGCAGGAGGTCCCAATTCAGTTCTTCGTAATTAAAAAGAGGAGAACTACAGCTAACCAAAGAAGTGAGTATTGACTTAAAGAGACAAATAACCCAACTTGGTATCAGGAAAGCTTCCCATAAATCCGTTAAGTCACAGAAATAATGGTGAGGCTGAGGAGTAAATAATGGGGGAAATGGAAGCTGTTCATCTGAAATGTCCATCTTACTACTGCCTATTTCTTCTTGTATATTGAGAGGAAGTCACTATGAAATACTGAGAAAAGCATTCTTGTAATTCCTCATTAGAATATTCATGACTGGGAAAGACATGGAACAAGGTCAGCCAATGAACAGGCAAAGCGACTAAGTCAGCCAATGGGAGCTTAAACAGATCTGAGTCTGTGCTGAGAATTGACACTGAAACTACTCTGTCCGCTCTGAACCCTGAAATGAAACTAACTGTTCTCTCCTGCTTGTGTTCTGCTCGTAACCTCTACCACATTGAAAGAATCGACTATCGGTATTTATTCATCTGTCATTAGGGTATATAAAGAAGTTAATGAATCCAGCTGAATCAGTTATCTGTGTGCGCCGGCTGGATTTGATTTTTCCGCAACAAACTCTGACATTCCGTTATTTGGGATGGCCTCTGAAGTGAGATTGATATCCAGATGTTTGCACTTGTGTCAGAAGCACCGAGGGGCTTCTGGTTTAAAAGATTAGCCGGTGACATCACCATTGCCCTAGGGATGCCCAGTTGGGGGATCCTTTCACATCCGCAGTAGGAGTTGAGGCAAGGACCAGAGCTCAACCCTTCCCCAGGCCAGCACTTGGGTCTCAAACGCAGGCTTGCTAACCTCCCTCCAGGAGTGGGCTTCTGGGGGTTTGCAGGGGTTCAGGAGAACTTCTAACTAAGATTCTGTGCAGTTCAGAGAACCCCCCAAATCCCACTTCTGGCTGGCCCCGCCCACCAAACCCCTCCCCTCCCAGGAGTCTCCACGCATCCCGTTTTGGGTGCAGGTAAGTGCAGGGCATGTGTGGAGTCTCGGGGAGGGCGAAAAACAGGCTTACCATTTCTGGCCTCCAGAGGGACCCACCCACCCAGCCCCTCACAGGAGTCCCCATGGGGCCTATTTGGGATGCCAGGTAAGGACAGGTGCACACGGAGGCTCAGGAAGGGCTGAAAGGGCCTCCGTAGGCCGGGGGAGATAGCTTTCGCCCTCCCAGAGGCTCAGGGAAAGCATCCAGAGCCCAGGGAGAGCAAAAAAGCCCCCCTCTGCTGTGGTGCAGGAGGCCAACTAGGCCACGCCTACTATGGCCACACCCACCCAGCAACCGGGCAGGGAACTCCTTGCTAAAAATTGTTGACCCTGCCCACCTCTGCCTCCAACCCTAACTATGTGATCAACCCCATGGTTTATAGCCAGATATGGAGACTCGTTCTAGACATGGCTACTGGACTGAGTTCCGGAGGCAATGCTGGGAAGTAAACTTTTGGATACTCAACCCAAATATTCCCTCTATAGGGTGGGGATAGAACCAATGAATTGGTGGGAAGTCCTACGAACGTCCGAAGGTATACCTGGATATTCTCTGCAGTCAGTTGGCTTTTCACTTCTTGATTCTGGTTGAGGGGCAGAGACACGGGTTTCTGGGAAGAGGGGAGGTCTATCCTATAGGAAGGAAAATGGCCAGTTGGAGAGACAGTACTTTATTTTTACTTATTCACTTATTTATTAAATGTACAGGACATACTGTCCCTCTAGTTGGGGAGAGATTCTGGACAGCTTATAACAACATTAAAAACATTGTAAAAATGATAAGAACATGAAAACATGCAATATTAAGAATTATAACAATATTAAGCAAAAACTAGATAAGGGTTCAGTGCATATATGGGTTAGAGGTGAGATCTTCTCCTATTCTATTTCCTACTTCCTGTTCTGACCGAGGCTTCCCGAGAGCATGAAGCAAACTCCTTGTTCTGACAAAAAACCCTATTGTTAATTGACTGTGAATTCTGCTCATTCACATCCAGCAAAGTTTTTCAAGGGAGGATTTACAGTCACAGACTTTATCTGGCTTGGAGAGCTGCCAGGCCCATATCTGCAAAACTTGGCAAGGAGTCTCGGAGAGTCACAAACCAATGAAGCAAACTAATTGTTTCCTGCAAACTCCACTCCCCTTTCGCCCCTCTTTTATTTCCTTTGGGAGGGGCCTCTCATTGTCCACCTGTGGCCTTACTCCCAAGTCGACCCCTGTTCTTTAGCTGTTCCCTTCATCTGGCAATTCTGCGCATGCACACACTGGGAACAGGCTCCAGCTGTTCTTCTGCCTCACTGAAGTCTGACTCCACTGGCTGCTGATGGACCACAACACTTCCAAAATAGGGGCCCAGGCCAATTGGCATAGCCAGATTTTGAGGGTTTCCCAGAAGGCCAATGGATAAGGAGAAGATCTCACGTTGAGGGGCATCCTATAAGAGCGGTCAAGGGTTATAGCAGAGGAGGCTCTTCCTCTGGACCACAGGAGAATTTCTGAAATACTTTGGCCAACAGAGTCCTCAGCATGCCCCTTCTGCTGGAGCAAGTGTGTTGGACCAATCCCATTGGAGTGATACAGTTCCTCAGATAGCCTGTACTCATGCCATAAAGAGCTTTAGAAGTCATAATCTGTCAGTGCATGCACAGGTCTATCACGTGTATCAGTCCAGGAGCAAGTACAGTCAACAGTGGTTTGTATCAAATAGTAGTTTTTTAAAATCTACAATAAGAATATAGGGATACTATACATACACATGCTACAAGTATTATCTAAACAAACAGCAATTAAAGCAGGGAAGAAACTCAATGAACAAACCAACACGCCAGCAGGCTCTTAAAAGGATAACAGCCAAAGACCCTGCTGACTCATTCTCCTCATTGCATCAGTTGATCAGCTCTTAAATTATAACCTTGACATAACCAACACCCTGAATTTGTTGGCTGACAGGAACTTAAACCAATCCAATCAATCAACTAACTTTGATGTCCAAGAGAAGAGGTGTCTAACTCCACATTCAATATCATTTCAGTCTTACAAGACTGTAAAATCTGGTGAGATTTCAGCAACTTAGTTCAAGTTGCCCACATATTGCCAAAATTTTGCAGGCTCTTGCATAAGAATGTTGAGGTCCCACCTCACCCTCTTCATTCCCTGAACTGCGACAGCAGGTGGAATCCTGGCCTGAAGCCAAAATATCTTTTTGCCCAAGTTACATTTTGAACAAAAGTGTTTGTGCACTTTCCCAGCGCACAAATCACAGTTTTGAACCATTATACATGGCCAACAGGAAATGAACTACTGCCAGGAAATGGAATTTCAGTGTGATTGCTTGACTTTTCGTTCCTAACCTAGTACTTTTTTTTTTTTCAAAATGGGGTTTAAAAAATCCCCATTTTTTTAATGAATGGTTATTTCTGAAGACATTATAGTGAAAATGGCTCAGAAGGAGCTATGCAATTCTGGTAGAAATGGACATAAACTGGTAGAGTAATGCATGAAATAAGAGAGACAGACAGAGAGAGAAAGAGGGAGGGGGGAGGGAGGGAGAGAGACGCACACAGAGAGACAGAGAGAGAAAGAGAGAGAAAGGGAGAGAGGGAGAGAGAGAGAGACACGCGCACAGAGAGAGAAAGACAGAGACAGAGACAGAGAGATGGAGACAGAGAGACAGACAGAGAGACACGCGCACACACACACGCGCAAACACATTTCAGGAACAAGGATGTTCAGCTCTTCAGTTTGCTAACAAGTCTCTGAAGAGACAAAGCAGTTAGAGATGTAAGCTCAGATGAATCTTCCTAGCACAATGTAACATTATGCGTGCATCCTCCTGTGTGAGGCAACACTGTGGGCTGTGTGCATCAAATTAGATCTTCAGCACCATGGACAACTCTCTTCCAATCAGCATAACTACAATATTCTGGATTCGTTTCCCCCAGAGTGTTTCAGAGCTTATACGATTTTGAATATGGTCCCTATATGCAACTTTTTAAAAACAGCCGCGTCTTTTCCCCAGGAACACATTCAAATTTTAGAGGACAGATAGATGTAATCTGAAAAAAACGAGGTGGCTACTTTAAAGAGTAGCAATAGCAATAGCAATAGCAGTTAGACTTATATACCTCTTCATAGGGCTTTCAGCCCTCTCTAAGCGGTTTACAGAGTCAGCATATCGCCCC